CCAATATTTTGGTCAACAACAAGGGTGTTTAACCCAACTTAAGGCAGTGGTTTCTCGAAAGAGAAGGGTATCTGTTCCCTAGAAAACCACAGATATCCAGCTGTATGATCTTCTGATGTAAACTTTTCCAAATGTCCCTTCCTCCTGCTTCCTACTGTTTCCTGCTGCTGTGCTGAATGTGTTAAAAACACTGGGTCATGTACAGGGAAGGAGCTCCCTAAGCAGTATTTCCTTCCCTTGATGTGCAGTGGGTAAGCACTTATTGTTTTCTCAAACGTAAGCAAACGCATTCTACATTTCAACCCTGGGACAAACTCAGTCCGTGAATGTTTATTACTTTATCTTGTACCTTGACTTTGTTACTTGTACTTGGTCGATTTTTCAGACCTTCTGGATATCAGAATGTACCAAGACGTACAATAATTCTACCCTTTTGGAGTTAGAAATTCAACCTGGACGAGGACAGCAGGGACAGAGCTCTCCACATAGCAGGACTTGGCTAATTTTGATGAGGAAGTTGATTGCTCGGTGAAGGGGAAGCTCCCGTAGGAAAACCCGTAAAGCCCATGTACCCTATGGTTTTGTTTAAGTCTCTGCCATTTTCTAGGAGAGTTGTTTTCGTAGCTTTAAGATTATGCCTTAATGTTTAACAGTCATACCAATTACTTGGTATAAACTATCGTGGAACTCATGTTCGAATTTTACATGGAAATGCTGGAATGAGTCTTCTTGGCAGAAGAAGGGCAAGTCCAGAAGTAAAGTCAGTGATGACATTGAGAAGATTTCCGGGGCATAGCCAAGATGGATAGACATGGATGGGTGGGGAGAGAGAGAAAGAGAGCTAACAGACAGATAACAGATAGTTATCTTTCATAACATGTTAAACTGGGAAATGCGCAGGGACTGGACTGTAAAAGCATCGCAGCTCTCATTTAGGCCAATGTTGGATCTTGGCCTGATTGTTATACTCTGTGCCAAATATAAAAACTAAACACCAATTCTGGTTATTTCCTGGACGCCCTTTTGGTTTACGATAAAAGCAAAAATAAAATAAAATGAACGGTGATCAGTTTTGAGTACAACCCTCAGTGATCTATTTGCTAATGCAGAAGATTAAGCATCTAATATGCCTTTGTGTCATTTGGGAAAGAGGTTGGAATTTGGAATCCCAGGTCATCTGAGACTGCATTGGCTTCTCCGGAGATGCGTGGTTGAGAGTAAATCCCGTAACCTTACTGAGCCTAGGGGCCTCTTAGTCCTGTTTACACGCTAGGTTGTATGGAAGTCAAATGGGAAGCTGCAGGTGGGAGCTTTTATAAACCCATAAAGCTCTTTATGCAAATTATCTACAGAAGCAGAATGCACGTTCATACAATGTGTGAAGTTGACTGAGCAAAATGATTTCCATTGACTCCTAAAATCTTCATTGGTAAAGAGGTCACAGACTGGTAAGTCTCTGATGTATTCCCCAAGGACCGGAAGCCCACACAATGGAACTTTCTCATTTTAACAGAACTTTCCCGCCCTTGACCCCTCTCCTACCATAGGGCCTGTAGATCACGTGACAGAATGGCAACGATTTGCAGGACACTACGTGCCTGCTGGAAAGTCCATTCCTACTCCAGGCCTCACTCAAAGATGGCATCCTTCCCTGTCAGGCAGTGTATGGACCAGAGAAGTATTACTAGGTGTTGAATGTGTTGCCTCCAGAATCCAAAGAGACATACTAGGTGCTGGTCTTCTATCGGTAGGGGATATAAGATATGTCAAATTGTCTTTTACTTTGGAGGAGATATGTAGAGCGCCCCTGATCACTGGAGCCATCAAGCCTTCAAGTGATGGGTCATGGGTGATGGGTTCCTTATCCTCCACGGGATTTGTCCCCTACTCTCTGGAGCATGTGTGTCTTACCCATGTCATCTCTCGTCCTGATAGGTCAGTTATCAATGTATCAATATGATGTTCCATGAGACACTCTAGGTCTCTTACGACTATAACAGACGTGAGAGAGTTAACATAGCCCTGAGGCAAAACTATAAAGGAATATTATTGTGTAATTCACCTGAGTGTGAACTCTTTTCTAATCAGAATAGAAAACAAGGCATCTGGTTAGTCACCAGCTGAATGTCATGGACCTGTCCTAGAAACAGATACCATGTCTGACAGAGCAGCTGTCACTACCTGTTTGAGTTTACAACAATCTGGTTGTTGTTCAGGACCCATCTGGTTTCTGGAGGGATGAGACTGGCAAATTAAATGAAGATAGATACACTCTCTTTGTATTCTTTTTTTTTGGGGGGGGGGACAAGTGAGACAAAGTCAGAGAAAGAGAGAGAGGAAGAGAGAGAGGGACAGAGAGAGAGAGAGAAGCGGGACGCACTGGAAGCAAGTCTCGTGGAACTTGAACTCACAAACCGTGAGATCATGACCTGAGCAGATGCTTAACGACTGAGCCACCCAGAAGCCCTCTTTGTATCCTTTATGTCATTAATGGTCTCTACTTTCCCCCTCCTCAAGATACAGTATTGTTCTTGATTCAGCGTCTTGGCTGGGAGTGGGGTTGAAGGAATTGTCAGAAGTATCCACTTTCTCTACCCCATTATGAGACTTCTTACCCATAGGCCAAGGACCCAACATGGGGATTATTCCAAATACCAAGTATATTAGTTCTGATGCTATACCTGGTGTTAGAGAACTGGCCACTGGGTGTGTTTGTGTTCATAGACTCAGTGGGACCCCATAAAGCTGGGTTTTAACCACAACTCCATGGATTACCTTACTTTCATGCACCCATTCTAACAATGGGGCCATAGTGACATTTTGGTTTTCTAGGTATCAATATCCATTTAGGTCTTATGCCCAATAGCTCTTGAAATGTCTGAGGATTTTTCTTTCTCCAGTGCACAGTCATCCAAGTAAATGGCTGTAGGTCCCTTTGAGTAAGGCCCAGGGGAAATCATCAGTGTATATACTTGTCAAGATGTTTGGGGATTCTTCTGACTGCTTCTTCAGACAATAGATTCTGGACCTTAAGATTAGCTCAGAGCCGGGAACTACACAAGTGATAAGAACTTTTTACTGGGGTGATAGTGACTGCCCTTAGCCTCTTACTCTCCATTCTTGACTCCCGGTTTTAGCTATTAAGCAACACCCTGTTGGCTGCCTACCTGTTTTGCCCCTATGTGATGGTAAGACTTCTATATTCTACTTAAAGTGGTAAAATATTGCTTCTTCTAAGTAGACTGTGTAAAGTTAAATGTGTCTTTTTTTTTTAAATTTTTTTTTAACATTTATTTATTTTTGAGACAGAGAGAGACAGAGAATGAACAGGGGAGGGGCAGAGAGAGAGGGAGACACAGAATCTGAAACAGGCTCCAGGCTCTGAGCCGTCAGCACAGAGCCCGACGCGGGGCTCGAACTCACGGACCGTGAGATCATGACCTGAGCCGAAGTCGGATGCTTAACCAACCAAGCCACCCAGGCGCCCCTAAATGTGTCTTTTATAATCCCTAGGGCAATCACTGAAATAAGTATACAAATATATGTAGTTTGCCATCGCAGTGGGTAAATTGGAAAACTAAAAATGTTCAGAGAAGACAAAAGAAGGCAGGAAATGGGAAACAGAAGGAGGAAAGTCAGAGAAAACAAATAACAAAACGGGAGACCTGAATCCTAAAATAGTAGTAGTCAGATGAAATGTAACTGCTCTAAAGACACCCATTAAAAGACATATATTATCAGGTTGGAATTAAACAAACAAATGAACAAAAAGGACCTCACTTGAGCTGTCTAAAAGAAGGTCACTTCAAATATAATGATATAGATAATTGAAAATTAAAAAATGAGAAAAATATACCATGGAAACACTAATCAAAAGGAAGTGGGAATGGTCCTATTAAAAGCAGGCAAGGTAGACTTGAGAACACGGAAAGTCACCAGGAATGAAGATGGGCGTTATTACATAATGATAAAAAGCCAATTTGCAAGGAAGACATACCAGTCCTAACTACGTAGGCACCAAACGACAGCTTCAAAGTGCATGACACAAGACTAGTTAGACCCGAAAGGAAAAACAGAAGAGTCCATGATTGTTGTTAAAATCTTCAATACTCCTCTCTCAGTAATCAACAGACCTAGTAAACAGAAAACCAACAAAAATATAGAAAAACCGAAAAACACCATCGACCTACTAGATCTCATAGATATTTATGCAATACCCCACTCAACAGTAGAACGCACCTCTCTTCAAGTGCATAAGGAATATGCACCAAGATAAATCATATCCTGGGTCATAAAACAAGTCCTAACAAATTTGACATACACAGTAAATTTTCTGACTGCTGTAGAATTAAACTGGAAATCAGGGTGCCTGCGTGGCTCAGTCGGTTATGCGTCTTGACTTCAGTTCAAGTCATGACCTCACAGGTTGTCAGTTCGAGCCCCGCGTCGGGCTCTGTGCTGACAGCTCAGAGCCTGGAGCCTGCTTCGGATTCTATGTCTCCCTCTCTCTCTCTGCCCCTCCCCACTCCTGCTCTCTCTCTCTATCTCTCTCTCTCTCAAAAATAAACATTTAAAAAAAATTTAGAAACAAAAAAAGAATGAAACCAGAAATCAGTAACCAAAAGATAATAGGAACATCTCCAGGCATTTGGAAATTAAACAACACACTTTGAGATGATTCACAGGTCAAAGAGTAAGTCGTCAGGGAGACTAGAAATATTCTGAACCGAATAAAAATGAGGCACAGAGAAATGAAAACCCTGATTATCCAAGTGATGATGTCAATCAGGCAGCATAGAGCCGTGTAGAGAGGAGCTTTTCTCTGATTAAACGGTTGACTTTCCCTTCAAAGGCACTGCTTTAGATTTTGATATTAGCCCACAGTTATCTTGGCCATACCAGACGAAAGCTTAGAAATATCGGACCTCCTTGATTAGATTGCTCTTCATAATACGATACGTCCAGGAAACAGAGTGTAAATGTTACTCCCTGCTCTGCAGGAACTGGCTGAAAAGAAGTGAAAACACCCCAGCAGTCCAAGAGAGATCATGTGAATGTGAGGTTTGGCAGGACCTGCGGGACTGAGGTCAGAACTTCTGAAGGCTGTCTTCGCAGGAACTTTTCACAGAAGTCAAACAGTTAAAGCAAATTGCAGAGAGGTGGTAGAGACCGGGGTGGGGGGAACATGTGAACTGTTTTCTTCTAAACAAGGACGTCAGTGGATAAAGTGTGATTCTGGATTCCTTGGTTCAGATTTCTCAAGAGTAAGTTCGTTTTATTTTTTCTGGTCTGTGACTTGTGTTTCGGGCTTTTCTTTCTTTCTTTTTTCTTTTCTCCTTATCACAAATTTATAAATTTGGATGCTACCCCTCTGTGGAGAAATTATTTTGAAAATTAATGGGCTGTTTTGATGTTTTGAGTACTCCATGTTTAACATGATGGAAGCGACGGCATTGAGTTAAAATACAAAGGTGTAAAAATCATACAACTCTTAATATGATTTTTCACCAGAAACTGAGTGTGGAAATAAGCTGAACTTTGCTTAACATGTTGATCAGGAAGAAGTAGGGATCTTGAGAACAGATTTGTAAACCTGAATTGTTTTTGAAGTGATGGTTCTTTGCTTTATTGCATAATAATTTGGGGCTATTGTGGATAAACTGTTTCATGACTTTTAGACTGTTGACCAAAAGCATTTACAGAAATATTTTTCTTGTCTCTGGCTCTCTTACGCTGTGAGAATTTTGGAAGCGGAAGATGCTTTCTGTGCACACGGTGTGTTGAATCAAAATTGACTGCAGCATTTCCTTATCACAGTATTATTTCAAATGTGCGTTACTTCTATAAACAGAGATTTCAAGCTGCTCTGGTATAAGCGTTTTGCCCTGAATTTAACAACCGTATAAAAGGAGGAAAATCGGAGCCCTTACAAAATGAAACTATCTACTGCATGTATAATGAGGAATTCATGTTATTGTTAGTCTTTTGATAAACTACAGAACATATGTGAATCGGGGGGGGGGGGTGCGGAGGGAAGTAGGCAATACTAATTTCCAATGGAAAATCTAAGGGATGGGAGCCACACTGACGTTTCCAGGCTGAATTGGGCTGCAGCTGATTCCACAGCGAGATCACTTTTTGGCCAGCTTACCCTCCTACGCAGCCATGCACAGTCCCCTTAAAAGTGTCCACACTGAATTCTCTGCACTAGGGACAGCCTATGGGATCCTCATTCTTGTTATCACTGGATACCTGACCTAATGCTTCCCCCAGCACCCCCC